TCTGATTGAATTTGTGGGGCATTACCGCTTTATTTAGTCATTGCGGACATCATTGAAAGATAATAAAAATATAGTTTCGATAGACAAACGGGTCATGAAAAATTCCCCTTGTGTTCCCACAACTACGTTTAGAGAAACTGAACGTAATTATAGATGTTTGCTAGACGTTCCATCATCATCGCCATCCATGCTCAATGCACTGCTGGATAAGGCCTCCCGAAGTTGCTACCACTTCTCAGGATCCTGCCAGGTGTTTATGGGCACTCGCATGTACAATTGCCGAAGAGGAACTCTTGTGTGGCAGTGTACATTCTGTGTCTGGGTCCCCTTTTCAAAAATTCAATTAAAATACATACAATTGCAGCCGTATTCAATCCTCCAAGGGATGAAAGCATCCACATGCCATGTTGGTGATGGAGGTCTTGTGGCCACACTTGCACCACGCTGGTCAGTGTCAGTTGGTGAAGTGGGCGGGTGAGTGGTGAGCAGGATTGCTTATGATATGACTTGCTACCGATGATCGCGGTGGACACGAATAACAGCGCGCTAACTACCGTACACCTTCACCCACATAAATTGCCATTAATAAAGTCCAAACGCTCATTAATTAAACTGATCTAACACCCTGACGTAGTGCACTAACGAAACACGGTCTCGAGACTCTGTGGTCCCAATACTCTGGGTGAATACGAGCATTATTATGTTTATTATGTTGCCCACTCTCTGTCCACCCAGAAGTATAAAATGAATAAACCGCAGTTATTCGATGAGCAGACCTCATGTGGTAGGGTAAATTGTGGGAACGTTTGGCCAGCATGGAAGAGCAGGCAACACCCACTGGAGGCGTTATCTAAAGCTCTCTCTCGTGGAGGCCCTGCAAATAATTGCAGGGAGGCACCTTTGCTACCTTAGCTATTGTTATGATTATCCTTGTTATCAGCATTGTTATTATCATTGTTATTATTATCATCGATATTATAATCATTGGTGTTCTTATAATTGTTATGATTATCATTATTATTATCGTTGTTATTATTATCATTTTTATTATTATCATTGGTATTATTTTTATTATTATTAACATTGTTATTATAATCATTGTTATTATTATTATCATTGGTGTTCTTATAATTGTTATTATCATTATTATTGTTACCATAGTTATTATCATTGTTATTATTGTCACTGTTAGTGGAAACAGTGGTGTGTGTGTGTGGAGCTATGCTGGCTCCATGGGCGGCTTGAGGTGCAATCATTTCCCTCCCGGGCACTAAACGAACCTCACCAAGAGAGGATTATTTTCCCCGATGCGGTAGGCTTTTTGTGACGACCTCATACCGGCTGAGATAAGCAAGCGAGTAAGCGAGTGAGGATTTTTTTCTTTTAAGCTGCTAACATTAAAAAAAGCCCCATTAAGCAAGATAAGATAGGAACTACCGTAGAGTATATTAGTATTTGAATTTCTTGATTGCTGATTATAATGGTTCCCACATTTCCCACAATTGTTTTCTGATGTGCATCTCCATGTGCGCTTTTAGAAAGATGTACACGTGGTGCAAATTGTACACATGCAGTTTTACGGAAAATTTCTGCACGCGTAAATAAAGCTTCGCAAACACAGATGTTATTACCAAGGTTATGGGCGGGGAAATGGAATTGTCTCATATCTTTTTTTCTTTGAAGCTCATGATGGAATGTTTTTTTTTGTGTGTGAGATTAAAAGCCTTTATCAGAGCCAGCAGTTCTCATCGTTAATGTCAGTGAAGGAAGTTTGAGTTGTTTTCATGTAGATTTAATTTAGCACAAATAACAAAGATTCCTTGAAAAGCCTAGACAGGCTGTTAGGGCAAGTGCTGCCTGCAAACGCCTCTTCCAGGCTGGCATAGCCCATGAAGGGGTGGTGTGGCCGGAACCATGTCGAGCCAACTTTTTCTTCCCAGAGATGATGACCTTCGAGATGGACCAGGACCAGTTAAGATTTTTACCACTGATGTTGGACATGAGTGGTAATCAAAATCAGATTGTCAGGTTTGTAGCGCATTTTGCTAGCCACTATATTTACGCATAAAAAACACACACACAAGCACCCGCATATATGCACCAAGAGAGATTAATTAGTTCAGATAATGAGACATTAAAAGTATGCTCAGAATTACACTAATAGCACTGACTTGAACATAAATGAACATGGATCATTATTATACGATTATGACACAAACATTGTCAACATCTGCTACAATGATGCCAGCTTATGTTAGCGTGATCAAATATACATCCACGTGCACGGGTGTGCATGGCGCGTGCATATTTTTCCAAAATGTTTTAGGGGCTGTCCCACAAATTAGGCCACCACAAACTTTAAATATGAACATCGTCATAAACACAGGGTGTCATTTTGAAGACAATTATCTCCAGTTTTTACAAAACATGGCTTATATATGGTGTAAGCTAACGTTTTGACGCGCACACGAAACTGGACATGCCGTCACCATCCCAAGGTGTCCGTCCGATGTTTTTTTTTTCCACAAGCATTTCTCCCTTATCGATAAAGGCAGACAAATGATTCATATCTGAATCACAGTCCTAATCGGTTGATATACTGTGCCCAAATAAAAAAAGCCACTTCTTGATGATATCCGACTGTCACCTACAAATATTTTTTTAACGGGTCCGACCTGTACGTCCAATATCGTGAAAAGTAATAAGGTAAAGATACAGCCCTGCAATTGCTTGCTCGTGCCACTACTGGCAGATGGGCCTCCGCGAGAGGGATTTCTTAAGAGAGTCCCATATATATAAAAGGGTGTTTTGCTTACTTGACCATGCTGACCAGACATCTTTAGAAGAGGCAATCGTTTAAATGCCCCCACTGTTAAAATAAACTGAACCGGGGCGCTGTGAATCTCGTTCAGGAATTAATCTTGGCCGCGCTTGAAATGAAGTCATTGGTTGTGTCGTGCCGGCACTTTGATTTTTTTATTTGGGGACACGACACCCCCCCCCCCCCTTCTTCTTATTATTTTGTCCCCTGCAGCAGTGGTGCGGATGGGAGATGCCAACACACAAGGTGAATATGAATCCAAGGTGACTGCAAGGGAAGCAGGCGTATAAATTAAATTTTTGCATCAGAGAATTGATTTCAATGTGCTCCTCTTTTATCACGGTGATGGACAAGCCGATAAATGTGGTGATTAAGTTGCTAGCCGTGAGAGCGGAGCAGTTTTTTTGCGGCTGAGTGCGACGGTACATTAATCCTGAATTGCAGAGCATGACCAGGATTTAACCTCGCCGGACCCGGCCAGCCAGCGTTACCACATGCTTTGTGATCATCTGCTTCAGCTGTGCCAGGGGAGACATTGCATTGGTGCTCATCAGCAAGTCTGGCTTGTCTTAGACGTGGCGTTCGTTGGGGGGTGGGTTTTGGCAGATGGGAAGAATTGGTATGTTGTATATAAATATTACCCTTTTGCACAACGTACATACGACTGGGCTACGTTGTAGGCAGCAAAGGACAGTGCAGCAATATCCATTGTTATGCTGTATTGTACTTCTATGCTCACACGTCCATGCCCTCTGCCATAATCGACTGGTACTGCCTTGCATGGTGAAGTATGATCAAACACCCCTCTCCCATGACCGATGCGGCGTGGAGAATCCCTCGTCAGGTTGCGGATTGACAACAGAGCCGTGTACACATGTACACGTGCATGTGGTGTTGCACGTAGTGTTACATGTGGTATGCATGTGCACTTGCAAAACATGAGTAATCACGTTCTGCCAATGCCTGTGGGAAATGTCAATTGTGAGAGTCTCTCAGCTCAAGGGTCAATTATTCCTTCTGGGAATGAATTTTATTTATTTGTTTGCTCCAGCGTTTAATCTGATAAATCGGCATTTCGTGATTTATATGTGTGTGTGTGTGTTATGTCGAGTAAATCCCGGTCTTTCACTCCAGAAGACCGAGTTGTTGTTGTGTACACGGTGTGATGGACACAGAGCTGGGGCAGCTCAGAACAAAAGCAACTTTCCCTGTGTTGTCGGTTTTAGAAGGGTGGAATTTATGTACGGCACTTCTGTTACTTGAGTCAACAATGCAACGAATTTAGACTTCAAAGATAACATGTGCAGCCCTGACATTGCTTTCTCATGTGACTGCTGCCAGAAGCACCTTCACTGGTGAGTCTGAATTGGTTGATGTAGTATGCCAAGTAAAGCATCAAATTCTTGGTTATTCTGAAGGTAACCTACATCCTTAACTGGTCGGAGGTGTACGTCCAAAAAGGTTATCGGTAAAGGTGCATCACTGCAATTGCTTGCTCACGCCACTGCTGGCAGAAGGGCCTCAACGAGAGGAACCTTTTAAGACAGCCCCAAATAGAGGGGATGTTGTCCTCCTCCAAGCTGACTAGACATCTTAGAGGACAAAGTATTACCCACACTTTAACTCACCAACAACAACTTGCCCATCAACTAACTGTTATTGTTTGTCTTGCATCACACTGGGATTTTGTGCACACAGCGTTGTAATACGGTGTTTTTTTTCTTCTGGAAGATTTGCTGGTTTATCCCAGGATATTTCTGTTGCGCGTCGTCGCTTTAAGATGTTTCTCTGTTCATATTTTGTTTGTTGCGGTTGCACCCGACTCGAGAGCCGCATGGCTCACAGGGCTATACCTAATCAATGAAATTTGAAACTTGTGGTGAACCCATTTATACTTCTGGGTGGACCGAGGGGGTGGGTGGGGGAATTTAACGAACTTGCTACATAGTTTTCAAATGCGATGGAGAATTGGGCAGTGTACTGGATTTGTATTGTTCCAGGTGAAACGAAGACAGTACTTTCCTTCTGAGCTCCATTCCGTCACCACAGCGGCTTCACCAGAGGAAATGTTTAATAGCTAAACAAATAAACGAACGAATTAGGGACGACTCAACGTTCACATAATTCGGAGGAAGATCTAGTCCCTGTACTGACGGCTGTGCCCTGCGTTTCCCCACAGATGGATCCGGTGCAGAAGGCAGTACTCAACCACACGTTTGGGGTTCCCGCGCCACCCAGGAGGAGGCAGCTCATCACCTGCAACATCTGCCAGCTGCGCTTTAACTCGCAGGTCGAGCACCGTCGTTCCCGTCGCGTGAACACAGCAGGAGCACAAGGCGCGCCGTTGGCGCGACGGTTCGCCATCGCTTTGCCGCCGCCGCCGACGCAGCACTGCGGCGCGTTCCCTTGTGCGCTCTGCTAAACATTTACTTGTTCTCCAGATTTTTTTGTTTTGTTTTAAAGCATTCATTGCTCGTTGGCTGCCCGTATTGTTATTATCGCGTAGGACAAAGGAGACTGCTCCACTAAATAGAGCATTGATCTCTTTCAGCGGCCGTCTCGGCAGGGGGATGCTCGCGCGCGTGCGCTATGTGCAGGCTCTTTTTTTGTTTTCTGCATGCAGCGCGCATGAGTTTCCCATCAGTTATCTGGCTTAATAGACACGGAGAAGATCGATATGCCAATTTACTGTCAAACCAGAAGATGCTCCCAGCTCCAAGGTGGTGGGGGCAGGCGGGTGGTGTACGATAGGACGAGGTGTAAAAGGAATCTGGCTTCTTGACTCGTGCACTCATTAAATAAATCGCAAGTCACGGGAGAGTGCCCGCCTAATGAAATGGAGAAACAAGTTGCGTAAATCTGCTGATGTCTTTGAACTTTGACGTAAAGGACTTTTTTTTAATACTTACTCTGTTTTTTATATATATTTTTTATATTGAGGATTGCATTTTGCTGTCATCGCTTGTCCCCAAAAAGATTTTGGATATCGGCTTGTCCAGTTAAAATACCCCATTATAATGGAAGGTCAACGATCGGCGATGGGTTGATGGCTTAAGAGGCACTTGGAGGCACACTATTCCTATCACAGCACCTCATTAGCGGGTGGAGAGAAGTCTGGCAGACGCAGCAGGAGGGGATAAAACAAAGTGAGAGACACTGGCTCCTGCTAAGTGGTAACAGGAACATAAACCTCACTATAGAATAAAAGGAATACATTTTTAATAATTAAGTAATGTTGTGCAGGGACTGATTTTGGTATGGGATGCAGGACATTGTGGGGTTTACATTCGAAAGAGCGATGCTAATTATGCACAGCACCGTGAACACAAATGTAAGGCAAGTATTCATTTTTGTGTGACTTTAAGGCTACATAATTTTATGACACACACACAACAAAATTCTGAATATATAAGACATCGCAAACTGATGTGCGGTCCTTCGACGGTGCATTGAAACCGATTCTGTTCACAAAACGCAATGTCTGCTCACAGGGTGGTGAATTGCAGTGTTTTACTACAAAGTCCTTGTGCGACAGAACAAATGACCTGCTCCCCAGGGCAATGGGCGGCTTGGGTTGACTCATCATTTCAGCTTGGCCATTTTCCTACGCAGTTTTAGTTGTCAACATCAAGGCCTGGCCGCCCGAATGAGCGGAACAAAAGCATCGGCGGCAGAGCCTGCTGCGGCGCAGTCAGACACACACAGGCACGCCGGCGTGACGGGTGGTGCACCGTGGCGAACAGCAGGCTGAGCTCGGCAGGCTGGCAGGCTGACAGCATGCGCGGGGTAACAGAGACCACATATGGGCATTTAATTACGGCTGTCAGTTTAATAAAGTTTTTAAAAGGATCCTCGCAGAGATAGGGTTTTCTGGATTGATTCTGCCCTCTGAGGTTTTCACGCGCGCGGTGCGGTTCTGCCAAGGGCTCGACCGCTGCTGGTCGCGCTACACGCGCCACGCCGGCTGAATGTGCGGACTGCAGAATAAAAGACCGCTGTCAGGGAATTGCCGTAAGCTGCCGCAGCAATTGCGAGAGATTCTTAAATAACGTTGCATGTCGACTGCTAATTATTACCTCATGCTTCAACAATAAAGGTTGTCTGTATAGGTATATATATGTACGTGCATTGAATTATGCGCGTATGAATGATTTGTTTATTATTTATGTATGTATGTTACTTATACGCTGCTTTTCATTTCGGACCATGCAAAGAAACGAGATGTACAAAGCAAGCAACAGATAATCTAAACGACAGAGAGTTAACTGAGACAGTAAAAATTGGATAGCAGCCAGTACAAAGAACATGCGTTTGTGAACAGCACAAACGAGTCAGTATTTACGAGACAGAGAACCAATTCTTGAATCGAACATTGCCCCCGAATCGTGACAATTAATCGAATGACTGAGCAAGTGCTGAATTGACGAATGGATTTGTGGCTTTTAATGCATTCGTGGGCAAGTTGCTGATGAACAAAGTACCAAACTGACAAAATAACTTATCAGATTCTCGTTAGAAGATGTGGTCTTGTGTTCCCTTGATTCTGAGACATCTGTGCCTTCAATGCATGTGGGAAAACGTGGCATCGCTGTTTGGGGAAAAAATATATATTTAGACGTGATTGCATTTTGATGTAATATTAATCTAAATTGCACTGTACTGTTCTGGAAAAAAAAAACTAATATCGTCTTACTCTTTGTTTTTTTCGGTAAAGTCACGTAGAAATAATAAAAAATAAAATTCTATAATAACATACGACGTTGCTATTATATAATTTTATTTTTTATTATTTCTACGTGACTTTACCGGACAAAACAAAGAGTAATACCTGCAGTCAGGAAAGCACCTAATCAAGTTTTAATATCGTCTTGTCTTCTGGAAAACGACTCATACTTTTGTGACAATTCCACCATTGACTCCAGCATTGCAACCAGGAATTGAACGGAGGACTTGTTTTTCCTGCTGCCAAACGGGTGGGGGGGAGAGGGATACGCAAGCGCAATAGCTGCAATTTCAGGAAAGTGCCACGTTTTGAAGCCATCGGTGTTGTCATTATGGCACTATTACTCCATCCCCGCTTCCCTGCTGCTGCTGCTGCCCGGCCTTCGCTACGCCCCATTCCTTCAGTTCTCCCCGTGGCTCTAACCTGCTGCTGATGGGGGTCACAACGCTGTTTATTTTCATTACCGCAGGACCCCGCAGGCAACGCTACAGTCCCGCAAACGCAGCGCACACTTTGCATGGAATATTAATTGCCTACGATTTTAGAACGCTGGCTGCTTGTACTTTGTGGAAGAATTTGACACACACAAAATGTGTTGCTTTGACGTATGCACTCTTTTCTCTCTCGCTTTGATTTCATTACTGTAACATGATATATATATTTTTTATTACGAATTGCAGCTTAATTGCGGTGACAGTATTAAGAGTCATACGTTGTAATTAAACCAAAATTATGAATGCAACATGGGCAAACACATGCTCACGTTCGCTGCCACTTTCATATTGAAATATTTTTTTACGGTGGTGTTGTACAAGAGGCCAGGCTTCAGTGTGCATGGGTGTTTTCACAATAAGCCAAACATTGATGTAGGAGGCTTGTTCCCCTGGGGAGAAATTGATGTGACTGGCTGTCAGTTTGACGTTTTGGAGCGAGGAATCACTTGGGGTGCCGCTCTGCCAGGGTGGCTGACTCGGGGATGCGGAACTAGGAAGCCACTGGGGCATGAAGTCAAGTAATTGGTTAATTATTACCGTGTACATTCAACCCTCGATCAATACTAATACAGTAATAATAACGATCGTCATTATTACTGAAAATAAACCTGGTCTGTAATACATTAATGGTAATTTCAACGTGTTTGCCTTTCATGTTTTTGAATCGTCTGCATTTATTTGTGTTGATTGTGTTGCGAATTAGATGCTTAGCTCAGGTCCATGGATAGCGTTATAAGACAGAATAAAAGCAATGACAATCCTAAAAACAATTTACATGGTGATGATGATGATGAGAATGCATTATTAGGTACTAGATTCCCTATTTAGTGACATCATAAGCTAAGTGATTTCTTTTATTTAGCACCGTATAAAATAAACCTCCAGGATAATCCGAAGCTTTTATGCTTTATCAAGAGCATGCAGGCATACAGCTTGAATCAAGGAATACACTTGTTCACATTATTAAAGCAATCAAATAAAATGTCAGGGTACGTTCTAGTATCCTGGCTTAACTAATATTGACTGACATCAATATTCTTTGTCTCTAACATGCTGCTTTCCATAGGCCAAAGTAAGCATTATAAAGGTAGGCTGGAAACCTTTGAAGGGAATCCACTAAAATATTAATATAAATGGAAACATACGTATTGCAGTTGGGTCAGAGATTTATTTTGTATATGCAGAGCTGCATTACGTACTCGAAGCTATCCAATCGAAGTACTTTATGTTGTCCCACTGGCATGTTTATGATTAACAGCTGGCATAAACGGAGCAATTTATACACGTTATTATTGCAGTATTTTAATTATATTCCAACTTTCAGGCCATTGAAGCACTTACCAAAGTAATACACTCTGTTTTACGTAAAAGCAGTTACGTCCGTCACAGATACGGTGCAATGCGTGTGCATTTAAAACGTCAAGACACAGCAGACTTGGCGAGAACTCACTCGTCGGTACATGGCCGAGCAATCCGATCCAGAGCTCGTGTGTGGGTTTACTTGCCACGTATTTTAGAACACTCGAACATACATCTGGGGAAAAATTAAACTATATTTATTGGAAGGCCACACTATCCATCTTTACAATGTGTGCGTTTTTTTATTGATATTATTTCTAAATACACGGCATATGCATTTGAAGGTGTTTCCGCAATCTGTCATTTCCAGTGACAGTATTGTCCAATTTGTCAATGTGCAATCCAACAAAATGCATGCATTTCGCTCGGTTTTCTTCTGGCGAATGCTGGCGATAGCCAAGCCTGTGCATGCTCGTGGCGCAATAACGCAGCGACGTTGCGCCTCCTAAATTAGCTGTCAGCAGGTGCGGCCTGCTCAGTGCTGCACTTTGTCTGGCAAACCGGGCCTCAGCCCGCCGCACGCCGGAGCACTTATCTCCTGCCTCCGGTCGGCTAATTGAGGGCACCGCTGAGCCAATCATTAGGTACGAGCGCCGCACATCCATCACGTTGACTGCAGATTGCGTGGTTTTACTGCAACGCTGGCATCGAAGCTGAAGCCATTTTTGGCGATTCTGTCATCGCCCCACCACAGCTGCAGTCTGCACATCGACCCGATTAACAGATGTGCAAGGCCTAATCTAGGGTTTTCAAATGTGTGGGTCAAGTTCAGTGGCATAGCGTGGTTGACATGGGCCTTGGTGCAAGTCATTTAAATGGACCACCTATACAATATCCCCTCCTCCTCCCAACACCTGAGCCCCTTCCAACTCGTAGGCCCCGGTGCAGGTGTGCTGTCTGCACACCGTAGTTGTGCCATTGGTTCGCATGGCCAAGGAAGCATTGTGGAGGGGGCTCTGGGGAGCTGTAGAGGAGTCTCAATTACCCCCAAAATGAACGATGAATTGATATGTGTAACGTAACCAAAGTGAGCAGCTGGATGAGATGTTTGTGTGCAAGCCAGTTTAGTTGTTTTATTGAGTGTGTGGGGTCCGAGTTGTGGTGTTTATCACATATAATGCCCCTTGGGGTGCACTATTCTAAGAAAAGAGGGGACATAAATATGAGGTATGCAGTCATTCACTCCCTCACCTCTCACCCCTCTGATCAATTCGATAAATTGCCCTGATTTGAGGTTGTGCTTCGATTTTATAATTGGTTATTATTTTGTTTAGTTTATACTACCATGTCTACAGTCCCTGCCTTCACGAACCTGCACTCATTAGCATGGAGAAGTATGGTCAAATTAATTCCCATGACCCACATGATGTGGGGCAGACGTTATTCAGCAGTTGATTGACGCATTGATTTAATGGCATGAGCACAGATGGAGAATATAGTGGTGGGTAATTTTCAGGTGTGGTTGGAGGGTGTGCTGGGTCACAGCTGTAGTTATTGTTTTATACCCACACGTCTCATTGTCCTACCACTCCGTGCCATTCCCCTGATCTGAGTGTGCTCAGTCCAACGGCATACGCAACCATTATTGAATAGGGCCCTCACAGACAGGATTGTGGTTAAGATCCGGCCATTGTTTCTTCATGATAGCTGTGGAGAAAATCTGGTTATTGTGTTGAATTCAGTTATATCCTGCTCTCATCATTGAACAGCAGACGGACAAAAGGGCTTTACATATACAGTATATCATAAGTAGTTGTATTTGTATGAGGTAGTTAATGCTTGTACTGCCTTGTTGATTGTCACAGAACCAGGCCGAGGCTCACTATAAGGGTAGCAAGCACCTCAAGAAGATGAAGACGGCCGAAGCTGAGAAGGTGAAGCAAGGATCCCCGCCTGCCGTCCCCTCAGCCCAGGGACCCCCAGCCCTGAGCCACAGCGCCAGCCCAGCAGGTGACTGCAACAGGCCCAGGTTTTTTTGGGGGGGGGAGGGGGGAGGGAGGAATATTTTTCCTGGGACCCCAGACTCCAGAGGGAGCCACGGACAAAAATATGCAAAGAATAAGGACTAATTTATTGATATTATTGTAATGTTGCATCGGTTAGAAAAAAATCTTATGGTTGAAATCTACTTTTATTATTATTATACGGTAGTGTGCATATAACCATTGCTGAAACTGGTTTGTAATTTGTATTGTATAATACACACAGATTCCTATCTGAAACCTGATTCCCACCACCATCCGGCATTTCTGACCAACACCACCTAGCCAGTGAATTGGAACACGTACACCAGGCCCTTAAGATGAATGGATATTAGGACCGCATTATCTGCAAAGCTGTTTCTCCAACCATGGAGAAACAACCCCCTGAGATGCCGATCAAAACCATCTTGTTACCTTACAGGCGTTACCAAAAAGATTGCCAAAATCTTAAACAAACATAAGATCCAGGTCCGATTCAGTACAGTACACAACATCCGTGATCTAATCCCATCTGTGAAGGATGTCATTCCTGACATGCAATATCCCGGAGTCTACAAACTAAGTTGCTCCTGTGGTGATTGTTACATTGGGGAAACGAAACGGCATGTGTCGGACCGTGTTCGTGAGCACAAGGCAGATCTGAAACACGGCAGGACTAATACCTCCGCCATAGCTGATCATTGCTATTGTTTTTTTCCGAGACCAAGGTGCTCTGCAAACCTTCCGGCTACTATCAAAGGTTTGTTCATGAAGTGATGAAGCCATCCCGATATACAAACACAGACATAACTGCAACCTAGAAGATGAATACAAATTGAGCAATCATTGGAAGGATGTTATTAACCAGGTAAAACCTTAACTGCTTTATAGTTTGCCTTCATAATCGCATCTCCAGTTTTCTTCAGCTTCCTATTCCCAGCACCCGCTTACTTCCCAGCCCCTGCATTGTCAGCTCCCCATTCCCCCTACCCCACACCCCCACCCTCTCTATCTCTCTTCCCTGGCTCCGCCCCCCCCCCCCTCTCTTACCTACATAGCCTCTTGATACAAGCACCCCTTTTGCCCACTGCAGCAATTGTTTCTTGCTGTGGTTGTCACACCTGATGACGGACGCTTGTGTTGCGCCCGAAACGTCGTGATTTAATTTATTTTATTTGAAACCTACGTGACTTTTACCGAAAGAACCAAAGAGTATGGATCCCTGCAGTCACGAAAACTTCAAATATAGATTGAAACAATACACACAGTTTGTTGTTTACGCCGGAGTGCGTGCTGGTAGCGAGGGTGGGGGATTTTGCACGTGGGAATCGGACCCTGCAACCGGGGTTCGATTCCCGCTCATGGCCACAACCAGTGACGATTATCTGAACCCATCATGGGCCTCCCCTAGTTCGACTCTGCCTCAAATGAGTACCCAGTGTGGTGTATGCACATCGCCACTAGGGAGACAAAGGCGGCCGGGCAAGGTGCTGGCCACCCACCCCCTCGTGTCCCTTTTCGGCCTTCATAGGTGCTCGCAAACAACACTTGCTCCAACAGTTCTGTTAAATACGGGGGATCGTTGTATTTAGAGGAAAGGAGAGGGGGGGAGGGAATTTTCTGCTCTAGTGTCCTGGGAAAAAGATACCTGAATTGCAGCAAAGTGGTTACATCATTGTCCTGTTGGCAAGATACATCATTGTTCCAAGAACCACTCCTCAGTCACGAGTTAATTATGTGATCTTAATGAAATAATGCATGAGATATGATTGATGGCTGACTGTGAGTTTTTATTTGAAGTGGAATATGGGGACCACAATTACAAACCGATCATGTCATGATTGTATTTGTTTTCATTCGAGTGTTCAAAGGACAGGAGGTTAAAAGGATTGAGAGAATTCACTTGGCCTGCACACAGACCCCGACCATCTTTGTCTGTTCCTTTTGTTGTTACACGGGCGCTCTGATGATTAATTCACCGTGGCTTGTGATTGTTCGTGGTGCGTAATTGCCGCACGAAAAAAGAAGAATGGGTCATTGTAACATCGTCAATGTTACATTGACCTGAATAATTGTGCGGCACCAGTACGTTCGGAGAATAACTGAACATTTGGCACAGACCTATGCGATGCAATTCAGGGCAAGCGTCTTCTGAGCCACGTGTTTGTGTATTAAACACAAACGCTCGTGTAAACACTGTAACAATATCCCTCAAAGGACGCTGCCTCAAATGGTAAACCGATTTTACTCGGTGTCTATTTATACCATACATGTGGCGAGGTGCTAAAATGACTAATTGAATCTGTCAGTTGTCACATTTTTTCTGCCTTTGAGATGAGCACGTGTCATGGAAATTTGAGCAGATTGCCGAGGGGGGGGGGGGGGGGGGTGTTCTATAATTTCCGGTGTCTTATCGTACATGTGTGTAACACGTATGTGGATTATGTTTTCACGTGGTCAAATAAACCCTTTTTGTTTGCATGCAATGTTCACTTGTTACACGCTCGAAATGAAGGATGTGGGCAAGTGCTCCAAATCGAGGGCAAAACACATTTATTGTGGTTAATCTTTGAGTCCTTTACCTGTAGAATGCAACAGCACGTGGTGTCACACACAGCACTCCTCAACCGAGTCGCCAATAACCACGTGACTGGTGTACAAGTCCAGCTAATCAATAACCCTGCCAGCCAACCACAGGCCCAACCCAGTTATCGCATGCTGGTGTACACACGTGCATTGATGTATTGCACAGCACATAAGGACTTTCACAAAACCACACTTTACTCCTTTGCTGCACGAGGAAATAATTAAAAGAGTGGTCCATTCCGAATGTGACACACACTGCTGCCAATTGTCTTTGAGAGGCACGCTGCTGTTTTGTACAATTCAGCACGCAGCAGAGGTGCATTAACGCGATGATTGTTTTGGTTCACTGGGAATGTCTCCTGGTGGAACCAAACCGTGCCACTCTTTTTCAGCGTTGCGTCAAGAGCAAACAAAAACTGGTCCAAAAGGCACGTGACAAGTATTTCTGTTACAACAGAAGTGCATGGCTTACCAGCACCTCCCCAGATGCCTTTGTCTCTGCCACAGAATGAAAATAAGGCTCAGAGGATTTCTAATTCTTGAGCTGCTTGATATTTCTAGGATGAGTAACAGCACCGACTTCACACGTGCAAGCATGCACTAATAAAGCGTCAAGGTGCTGCCCTGGAAATGCTTGCTCATGCCACTGATCACAGAAAGGCTTCCACCGACGGGAGCTCTTGAGAGCCTCGCTGGAGGGTATGTGGCATACTCTATCACACTGGCCAGATGTCTTGGAAAAGGTGGGAATACCCACACTTTACCCCACCACGCATAACCTACCTATCAACTAAATGTGGTGTATTTATACTGTTGGGTGAACAGATGCAGGAGGGATGTATTAGATCCATTGTTGCAACTGTTGTGTCGGGAAATCGAACTGGCGACCACTGGATTGCAAGACCAGTGTGTTGACCGTTACAACTGGGCATTTTATAGTCGTCGATATTCACATTGTTCATGTTGCTCAAGTTGTTGCCGTTGTAGCCGTCAGCGGTGCTGGCTTTGCCATTGCACTTGTAGCAAGGTAATGGCGAAGTCGGTTCCTGAATGACACCGCAATCACCGTAAGCCGGGTTTCATTCGCCACCGTGCAAAGCAATAGCACTGAGAGTGTCTGGCACGGTGCCCGCCGCGCCCCCCCCCGCTCAAGGTTGACTGAGCTGGAAATGAGCACTTGTCACTGGGCATGTTTACCGAATATTGAGGGGCGTGTGTGGTCTGCAATAGATCCGGCCTGTGTATGTATGTATGCTGATCTTCCTTCGCACCGTGCATAGCCAACCGTGCTAATCGGAGGTGCGGGTTCTCATCTCATCAGCGGCACAGCTGTCGAGTGTGCAGGCGATGCAACTGCGCTGGTGACCACAGACCAGAGGCACGGGCAACAAAAGGGGAGGGGAATTGGAAAGAGGGCCCCATTTTATTCCTTGCACCGGCGCCCATGCCAATGATGCTACGCCATCGCTTGTCATGTGCCACTTCCTTCTAAATGAATGCATCGCAAGAGCGTTTAACCCTTAAGTCGTGCAGACGTTTGCTGAATTGAGATATTTAGCTTTTTCTGCCTTCGTATATGGGTGCGTATGTAATTGTGTATGTTTATGATGTGATGCGAAGCGACATTGCAGTGGTTAGGGCACTGCACTATGAACCCGGTGACCTGGATTAATTCCTGGCTGTGGGTAAAATCAGTGGCAAGTGGTGTCTGAATCTGCCCTCTCCTTGGGTGGCTCAGCCTTATGTGAGCACCTGATATGATGAGTCAACATCGGCACTGGGGGAGGACACAAAGGAATCCAGCGTGGTCTGTCCACAACACTCGCTTGTGTGATGTTTAGGCCTTAATAGGTGTTTGCTAACAGCACCTGCTTTAGCAAACACCTGATTGTATTTATAATGAGGGTATGCAATCCAGAGTGAGTAGTGTTAACACATCTTGTAAAAAAAGCATAATAATATGCAGTCACCTAGAACATCTGCTGTGCCCATGACAGGGTGCTGACATTTTTAAGAGCCTCTATAAAGCCTGTCTCTGTGCATCAGCCAACAACAAGCCATCACTCTTTTGTCCACCTTAACTTGTCCATCTTTTACATTTCCTATGCAGGGTGTAGGAATCATCTGCTGAGGAAATGATTTGCATTGATTTAATGACGTTACTTTACCGTGTTCCTTTGTTAATAATCAACCGTGTGAAATCTTCAAATGCAGACTTTTAATTTTTATGGTAACGATTGACTTCAAAATTGCCCTTTGAAGTGTGAAGCTGTATTCATCAATTGATGGTTAACACATGGGATTTTGGATTAACCTAGCTGTTTCAGTGGAGATCAGTGAGTAATTGTGCATTTAAGCCCCTCTGATAAAATTGGTTAGATTTTTCGGTTTATTGATTTTCATCAAATGTATTCAATTCACAGAGGAAAGAAAACTGCCAAAGAGGATTACAGATTCCTTTTGTTCGGGAAATGTAGACATCGAGAAATAAAATAAAATATAGTATTGTACAGACCTCCTGCACTGTTTCATGATGGCCTCCCCATGCCACATTAGTAATGGCAGTTATATGACCATACGTCTACAAATTGATCAGTGTGGGTTGATAAAAGTAGGGTGGCCCTGGACTGGTCCAGATATCACACGAAATACATTTTAAGCATGGCCGACAATTGAACTCAGGTCTTCGGATTCATAGCACAGAAGATGGAACCACTGCGTCACTCAAAATATATGCGTCATATATAGTGTACAAAAATATATAGTTCATAAAAAACACATGAGACAAGTGCATATCAAGCAGATCTCTCATCAATTTGCTAATTAAAGATGGAAGAGTGACATTTTAAAGAATGACATTTTTTTTTACTTTTCTTTGTTCCTTAAGGAGACACTCAATTATCTGTTACATTATCCACTCACCATCTGTTCATGAGCTTTAGGTTTATGGCATGTCATCCCCATCTAGTGTCTGCAGCTGCAGTCTTGGCTAGTGACAAAAGGCCAGCCAGGAAATAATTTTCTCCTGACACGCAAGAACGAACGCTAATATTGTTTACACTTTGTTGCCTGATGCCATATTTCTTGAGGACAGTTCTCTACCCACAGCGATGCCCCCCACCCCACCCCAATTGGCGTATTAGCGCGGAGCACGGTGGACACAATTCCTCTTCTGGTGGAATGATTCCAGAAAAAAGGCGGCGAGTCCAAGTGCCGCCGTATTCACTCCGTGGCAGGTCAAAAGTTATCCGCCAGGACAACAATTGGGCACAGCGCCCTTCAGTGTGGGGTTGATTTGCGAGCGGTGCACGTGATTGATGGAATTGACATCACAGGTAGAGCTGAGCGCACGCAGTTCTGGTTCCCTGGAACGATATTTCAAACGCTTTCCCATGGTGAATCATTATTTATTTTCCATTATTCTAACTGCGCTGATGTACACATATTTAACACTGTCGTCGCTTTGCATGAAATATTTCAGGAATGTATAGGGCTATGCAAGTCATGAATATGCATTTTAACACCTCATAAGTCTAATTTCCTGATTTATTTTTTAAATGCAGATTTAAAAAAAAATCACCGTTATTTTTATTCTTTTTAATGTATCATTCCTGAGCATCGGCCCAAAAATATCAAGCGGTCAGCAACATTGTGTGGATGCCGCAGTGTTGCAGTGGTTAGCACACCAGTTCGGTCTAAATGAGTACACCTCGATTAATTAATCGTCACCTATGGTTTGGTAAAGTGTGGATACTTTTGCTTGTGGATGAGTAAGCCAAAATACACTCTGGAGCCCCGTCTAATAGAAGTAATTCTGTCGTAAAATTATTGAAGTCATTCTGCCAGGAATGGCGTGAGAAAGACATTGCAGCGCTGCACCTTTATCTTTTACTAGCACTGTTCATGCATGTGCGAAGTTCTTGCAGTTATTCAGCCCTAGGCATATCAAACAGCACAAAACAAAAAAGCAAAAGCTGTGAGCCCATTTTGACATGCAAACAAGAAATTGCACCTTTCATCTCTTGCCTGATTGTGCGGTCCAATCAGCCTTGCCTTTAATTTACCCCCCACCCCCACCCCACGGTGTGCAGACCTAAGCAGTCAATCGTCCTCGCTGAGCCAACTCAATGAGGTCATGAACCGGGAGCTGGAGACATCGCTCCCAGCTGCCGCCGTTGCCGTCACAGAAAGCAACGACACTTCCCCGGCGAGTGACGCGGCGTTCCTCCCGCAGCCGCCTGGCCCCACGGTCCCTGCCATCACCGCCGACGGGCCTCCATCGTCCGAAGAGGGGGGCAAGGGCCAGCTGTTCTGCTCGATCTGCAAGCTGGCCGTCAATTCCCAGTCGCAGCTCGTGGCCCACAACAATGGTGAGACGCTGCAGCAGCAGCAGCCAGACTCGGTTGTGCACGGGGATCCAAGCAGCAACCCCTGTAGCGCGTAACCTTGTGTAAGGAGGGGGGGGGGGGGGCATAAAAACCTAGGGGAAGGTGGGGGGAGGGCACAACACCATCAATATTAAATTAACAAACGTTCATGGTTAAATAGAATGATTCATGATATAATCTGACATTGGTTGTCATGCATTCTGCTCTAGCTCTCAGCAACTATGTACATTGAGGAAAGGCTGCAGCACTCATCGCTTAATTTGTACTAATTGTACTACTACCAACAGTTATTTTACTTCACCATAAGAATTTAGCAGGAGGGATGTGCCCCCCCCACCCTCGCCACCATTGATGCTATGGGTTTGCCAAGCAATGTGGTATGTGTTAACGCGCACAGAGATTCCAGTATTCAGTCCAGATACCATCTGGTGTTAGAGCCGCATTGTAATTGGCACCAGAATGTGATGTAAAATGTAATGCAACGTACAGCCCTTTTTCAATCCACTGTTACAATTATGGCCTCTCCACACCGTGTCGGTCATGGGAGTCGTCTGACCATACCTCGCCACGATGGTCTCCCGAATTCTCTCCTGGGAGGACCTCACGAGAGCTACAGACCGGACCGTACGGTGCTCCCCATACTGGACAAACCTATGACTTGTGGTGGCAGGACGTAAGAAGAAAGTGAAGCAGAAAAGGCAGGGTACTTTTAGATATCGCTCGTCGCTGATGTAAGGGCATGGCTTGAGAACTGAATTCGGCTTTCCCGGGTTCACAACACTGTGTGTTAACCGCTGTGACATTGCTACCACCCCATAATGTAGAATAATCGTGTTTTATCTATGGCACCCTATTTTTTTAATCAATAATAGTGTTACTATAACAGCGTTTGACCTGAAATGTTTTGTGGAAATTAGGATATTTATGCAGCATACAAAGAGGTAGAGATGCATTGATTATAAATCTCAGTAAGAGGAGGCATTTAAAAAAACACACACACAAGAGATTCACCGTTAGTTCCAGCATCTTGTGTTGCTGCAGAATGTTCATATGCACGAACACACTGCCCTTTTCAGCGAGAGTCAGTGCAATGAGCAGTAATTTGGATATATTTTTCTCCGTGTAAGATGCCCACTAACAATGTGTTGTTGGTGAAAATAAGTGTACTTGCCAGAAAGTTTGTTCCGAGGTTATTTTCTTCAGTTTGTGTAAGAAGTTGTTACTGACGTGTATAGCCCTTCAGAGATGAGGTAAATTGCAGGAAACATGCCTGATGTTAGTGTCTCTCCGTGGGGATAAAACTGAAAATAACTTTAAGGGTCTTCAAATCAGATGGAAGTGGGGACGGGGGAAGGAAGAGCATCGTTGTTCTGTTAGCAGCATGTGTGAAATAAACAACAGATTCTCTGGGGGGAGTGGAAGTGAAATATAAGGTGAGTTGTCCTCAGCTTCCGTCGATTTGACACTGAAGCTTACTAGGGTGGCTGCTCTTTCACGCATTTTTATTTTTATTTCACATTTATTTGTGCACTGAAAATGTCGGCCGGATGCACTGTTTAGAAATGTCACGTTTAATATATATCAGAATGGCAAACGAACCATCAAGATCTAAGTGCTAAATTACTGTGAATTGCACCTTTTTGGTTTCATTGAAATAATGACTAATAATTTTCTCAATTTCACTATCGTTAGCCGAATGAAATGTCTCAGCTCATTAGTTTCGCAGATCTGTTGGATCACCTATTCTTAGGCAATTATTCTCCCCAGCTGCCTTTCCCACTTTAAAATTGAAGTTGATCTCGTGGTGTTCGTGCCAGACAGAATGACACTCATAGAAATTAGCCTACAAGGTCCTTGCAAGGTCGACACGAGGAGTTTAGGAGTTGTCCCGAAATTAAATGATACTAATGTGAAAAAATGTAAAACAACCATCTGACCCAGCAGGAGAGTTGGAGATTAATCCCAATATTCAAGGTGACTGGGAAACATTGTGTGTCCGTCTGAAAACACTTAATACGTTTTCACAAAAGCTACATAATCCCTACACCAGTCAGTGATAAATTCACCACACAGCTCACATATTTATGTGGAGAGATTTGTATACTGTAATTTGTGGACTAACTTGGAAACAAAATAGTTTCTTTTTTTTACATTTAATTTGAAAAAATAGTGTGAGGCTTCATACGAGCAGGCATAGTGTATGTTAGGTTTAAGCAATCAGTCCGCCCCTCGCATTACGCGCTACGTACGTTCCTGAAAAACAGCGCGTAAGTGGAATCGCGCTGTATGAATCCTATTTTCCCATAGACATGTTATGAGGGGGGGGGGGGGGGGCTGTACATCACCGAATAAAAATGAAGTATCATATTTTATTTCGTTATTCTAGCCCTGGATGTACAAAATACGTAAACAAATGTAATACTTAACAATAATATTGTTAACATCACAAAAATAACTTAATAAGAAGTTTAATAGTAAATACGATTTAAAAGTTTACGACTTACACAAATTACTTATTATAGTAATAGGTTTTACCCGTTCTGTCTATAACACATTCCTGCGGAGGGGGCTGGTAGGAACATTGGTTGCTCGATCAGTGGCCAGGGTCAACGGCGGCACCACGTGGTGTATTCCCCAAATATGCCCGACTGTGAGGGCGGGCACAAGCCGGCGTGAGTAGGTTAAACGTTGAGTTTTATAAGGGGGGCACCACGGGGTGACCAGCCCATCCCCACCCAGCCCCACCCCACCCAGCCCCACCCTCCCCACCCAGCCCCTCCCCACCCAGCCCCTCCCCACCCTCCCCTCTCCACCCAGCCCCACCCCTCCCACGTGGACAGACATCCACAGACATACACAATTAATCCCCTGCCTCCTGTGAATTATTCCTGGTTGGGCTTCCAGTCCACTACGTTTCCTACCAGTAAAACAGGTGTTAGGATATTCAAACACCAAACAGAAACCTTTTGCAAGGAGTCATGTCTGCATTAACTACACATCCTTATGGCGAACATGCAAAAAAAACATTGTCTGGTAATATGATGCATTTTCTTTGAAACTGATTGGTCTACACCAGAGACAGCCTTCTTTAGGGCCTAGTCTCACCAGTGTCAGACCAGAGAACGCCAAAAGGAGAACAGCACAAAGACAATGCCACTATCAGTGCATTTATAGCTCGGGTGCAGCAGCTACATCGTGGGATACCTTTCTTTCCAGTATCAGTTTATTGCCAGAACGGATAAAACCTATTATTATACTTTGATACTTGCAAGAAAGGTCCCATGTTAAAGATTACTTAATAACGAGTAACGTCAGGGCTTCTTGAACGCTTCTGTAGGCTGCTTGCTTGCAGCAGCACGACGCATGGCAGTAAGAGATCTAAGATACCTCTGCCCAATCCGTGAGACTGGGGCCTTGCCATCAGGCGGTGACGCCATCAGAAATATCTTTCGTTAGTAGAATTGAAAATTATTACTTTTATTTCTAAAAAATAAATGTTTTCAAATGTTTGTATTTCTTTTTATTGAGCACGTAACTGTGAAACGCATAGGGTGAGTGTGAAGTACGTCCTTAAAAGGTGAATCGTGTAACTGAATGCATGCTATAGAGGGGGGAGGGGACGCGTTACATGAGGAACGCCTGTATTGGTAATTGTTTCTTTATACACATTACTGTGTCTAGTCAAAACCCCGAACCAAATCTAGGCTTATTTAATTTACTGGCTTGCCAGCTTGTTCATTGCTATTCATGTGAGCGTCAATGAGTGACAGCTGTGAGGGAGAATTCCTACCACAAATGGTTGCCAGGTAACAGCACTGGGTTTGACATCTCCAGGACAAGGCAGAGAAGAAGAGGCATCACTGTGCCCCTTAAATAGGCCTCATCCTAAAAACTAAACTGACAATGCAATCACGTTTAGTTTATAAAAGCGTTGGTTCATGCAAATAGAATCTCACAATCGCTGAGGAACCACAGACAGACAAGCTGGAAGGCAGCCAGGTGGTGCGTTAACACCAACAATTGCCTTAGCTCTGCAGTCATCTATGTATTAAGATGTTTTCAGCCAATGAGTGAGTGTTTATGTATGTGGGAGGAAACGGGAGTACCCAGAGAAAACGCATGTGGGTGAGGGAGCAACGCTCTATCTCATAAAGAAGGGGCAGATGATTGTATTCCGCACTTTGCTGTACCACATTCTCAGAAGGCCTTGGCTACTGGTGCAGGGGAGTACAGAGAGATGAAAGGGGAGAGTCAGGCAGGGGTGAGTTCACTCTCTTCCCTCGGCCTCGCCTACAATTCAACCTCTTCAGCAGGCCTCATCTTAATAACCAAAGTTCAACCTCTTCAGTTGTATCTCACCCTAGCAACGAGAGTTCACCTCCACAGAACCACCCATCAATCACTGTTATGCACTTACATTGATTTTGGCTGTACTGCAGTCTAATGCTACATTTCCAGTAGACTTTTTCTTTGAATAGGTGTTATCTATATTGTGAAGATGTGCTTGGAAAACGTATAGGATGGTAAACAATGTCAACACGCATTCACCTCATGAACAGAATAAAAACATCTACATTTTTTATATTATGTCGATGTATTTAGTTATTTGCGGTGCAGTGCAGGAGTATTACGCTGAAATAAGCTGCATGTGATGGATTCCAACTAATCAGAGTTATATTCAGGACACCACTGTAAAATCAATGTGTAAATCACAGCACATGAAAGCAGAAGCCGGTTTTAAAGAGAGAAACAATTCGGTTCTGAAAAACAGTAATACGTCAAGTACCACCGTTACACATGAATACCTTGAGTTTTGAAATAATTCATACTCGCTGTTAATGAAACTCACTTCAGATCAAGGAGACAAAGCAAATTTTTCGCTTGTCCACTGGCTCAGTGAACCAACAATGACACTTCCCCACGAATAACTTCCCCTTCTTCTAAAATTTAAGAAATGTCTCATGAACACTTAACACAACATTGCACTGAAGTTCTGAGAGGATGTGACTTTAAACTGATTATAAATTGTTTTAATGTTGAGTTTATGGATTATTCATATTTATGTATTCACTTTGGAAATTCTAATTTTTTAAATAGAGTTTCTGCTTGCGAAGTTTTGCAAAGATGAAACCAGAATGCCTGGAGAAAACCTATATTACAAGACTTAATGCATAAGATAATAAGTATTACAACGAACCGTTTTGATTAATGCAAATGCTTTGTGCATTATTACTCTGGCTTCCTCTCACATGTAATATACTCAATAAGGAATCAAATATTTAAAGCAGATCCATTCTTAAAAGGAGTATTGGCACCTCATTAGGTTATTGCTGAATAATTTAAGGACACTGATTACTATAAATTGAAAACAACTACATTAACTTGTGATAAAAGTATGTGCATCCTCAATAGATCGTGGGCAACAGAGAACAATATCAAATAAAAACACAGGCATATGCTTCTGGATTTTCTGGTGTGAAACAGACTCCCGTTTGTTTATATTTTGTTATACCCCACAAACTGCCAAGATAGCGCAGAATAAATTAAATACATTTAAATGCCTTTTGCCATTAACACGATGCAGGCCAGTGGCGTTTGTTTATAAAGCCACACCTAGACCTGCCATCCCTAAATTTAATCAAATACAGTAGGAAGAAAGATCGCGCACATATGTTTTGTACTTAAAAGCAATGTATCTTGGCAAATAGGTGTTTTGGAAAATGGCGTCAAATATCACAATCAATTGAATGAGCCAAAATAGTGGTGATGGAACCCATGTAACTTTTCTATTGTCCCTACTAATTATCAGAGGGTGAATTGGTTGTGCTGCAGTTCACGCATTTCACTGGGAAACCGGCGACCTGCGTTCCATTTCTGACCATGGCAAGTGGTGAATGATATTTGAACCAGACCTGCCAACCCTGCCACCCAACCCGCACAGGCCAGCATAATCCAACAGTGGCTTGACAAAGGTCTGAGAATTATACTAATTAGATCTGGGTGGCAATCATATTGCCACACCCTACTGATGAGACGCACACAGTCAAAACCATCGTAGGGTTTGCCTGCTTAACCAAATTATGCCTGAAAACATTGGTGAAAATTGGCCTGCCGCTTTTTTGTCAGCTAGCTGGACACACATTCTCTGTCATCCAGTGTTGCCGTGGATGTCTGGACTCGGGTTCATATTCTTATTTTTGTGATGGTGACAGAGTACAAAGGTTGAACACGAAATTTAACACTCTTCTGAAATTCGTGGTCCGCCAGGAAGTGTCTGTGTTGTTGGCCTGACTGGATGTGCTTCACATCCAGTTGAATTCTCGTCTCTCATCTTTTTGTTGTATTTACCTCCGTGATTTGTTCTTGACACATGATGAAGATCGCTTGCGTTGTGATCGAAACGTCGTGATTGTTTTTTGTTTTAATATAATTTTATTGTATTTCTACATACGTGACTTTACCGAAAAAAAACAATGAGTAGTGAGGTTTACATCCCTTTATGCGGGTTTGGTTTGTGCAATTTTGCAATAAAAAAAATCCAAAAACATTCACGGTACACTTCGAATTCGCGCATATGCTGCCATGCGGTCAGACTTGGGGACCACATGTTGTGAAATTTCTGTACTACTTGGCAGGCAGACGCCTCCTTGCGCGGTTTCGCTTTGTGCGCCCCCCTCCTCCACTCTTACCGCGTAGAGAGATAAAAAACCTCTACCTTGTTCGTAAATTTAAAACCGACCCTGGTGGTTGTGACAGGTGCGAGGCACAAGGCCATGATGGAGGGCAAGGAGGTGAAGGCGTCGGGCAGACCGTTCCCTCGCCACTCGAGCCGGCATAAAGCGGCCCGAGCTCGCACCAAACTGGGCCCGGCGCCACCGCCAAAAGCCTTCCACTGCCAACTGTGCGACATCAAGGTCAACTCAGAGACACAGCTGCAGCAGGTGCAGTTGTTTCGGTTAAATTTGCAAGCTTTTTTTTTTCTCTGAAATTTGTTTTGTTATGTCACAACTTGGGTTGTCTCTAATTAGCAAATGTGAACGTATTTGTTTTGTATTCGGATGCAGACTTTTTGATATGGTAATGTCTGATTAAAATTGTATTACGAATCATAACTGTAATTTCAACTATTGTATTTTGCTCTTTCTTAATTACATTTAATATATACATTATTTCATAGTCTGCCCTATTATTAATTCATATTTGTAATGTTCATTTAGAATACATTTTCACATGTTTGTTCAATTACTGTTATTCTTTTTCTATACCAAGGTTGTTTTTTCAAGTTAATTGCTTCGTAGTGATTCCATGCACAAATCCACTGGTCCATTACAGTTCATGGTAATGTGGCTGAGAGGTGACACAAACCCTATACATCCTTTATGAAGTGAGACTTTATTGAGTCTCAAAACCTTATCACCAGGGTCCTCCTTTGGCGTGACACGAGGTTGATCAGGTTATGTACTGATCCTTGTTCGGCCAGTCCAATGATCTGGTTCGATTCCATTTTTTTTTACCACAAAATGGTTCACCCCCTAATTTAAATACAGCTTAAATAACTGTGCGGTTGTAATTTACCTGTGTGCAACAGCACATGGCCAGTCGGAAACACAAGGACAAGGAGGCAGGGAGGCCCCCAAAGCCAAAATTCAGCCCCTACAACAAACTCCAACGACGCCAAGGGACACATCTCGTGGTGAGATTGACACCATCATTTTTGGTATTTGCTTCCACAAGAGAATTGAATATATGTTTGTCTCGCTTAACGGGCATTCTCTCTACGAGAATTCAGCATAACGAGAAATTTGAAATTTGACTAATTTGTTCGCAAAACGAGCAAATGTTCACATAACGAGCAGAGACTGATCGATCAAATGCGTTCCGTGGTGGCAGGGAGCACACTGTGGCCTCCAGCTGTTAGTTTACCAGTTGTACTGTGCTGAGTGTGCACGTGATTCACCATGTGGGGGAGGGGGGGGGCCTTGTGGTGCCACTGTAATGGGTGGAAGGGTGAACAGGCACCTGCAAGCACTGTGGTTCTTCATGGGTGTAAAGTGTTATATTTGATGTTTTATTACTTTCTTTTTTAAAATTAATTTGTATTTCTCACGTGAAAAAAGTTTTTTGTAGAGTGGAACATTGTGTGGCTGAAACGTAACTCGGCTGTTAACATTGGAGTTAATGGGAACACGATGATCGTTTAATGAGGTTCACTTCGCTAGAAATTTTCGCGGAAGGTACTTTATTCCTTTAGCGAGACACGCCTGTCAAACTAATATAAAATGTGACCGGTTGATTCCAAATCAGGTATCCAAAATAACCCACATTGTATATTTCTAGCGTTATTATTTGTGTGATCAATGTAATTCTGCGAATTTGATCTCTTGAGGGCCAAATGTTTTCACCATCTATTAGTAGCACCAGGCATTGGTGATGGATGAAAATGCATATGTTTGGCTAACTGCACACACCGCTTAAATGAGAACCCATTTGGATGACATTGACAAAAAAGTAATGAAGACCTCTTAATGGGTTTTTCCGAGGTGCGCGGTTCATTGTCCGAAGACTGAATTTTAATCAACATAAAGGCAGCCATGGAAAGCTGGCAAGCGTTAATCGTAAATACTTATGCGCATAAAACCGGTCTGCATGTAATTGCTAACCGCATGTGGCACAGCCATAATGCCACGTGTGTGTGTGTAATGCAGGGGTTACTAAAACAGCTTCCCATATTAGTATTGTGTTACTAAACCCTTACGACTGTAAGCAATTTGGCGACTGGGCATTGCCAGGTGTATTCCATTTCTGTCCGATTTTTTTACTCAGATTAGAAATGAAATCTGGCTACAAGTTTGGATTCTCATAAATTCAGCCCGGTTGTTGACTGGCTGCTGGAAGAAAAATCAGTTTCTGTCCAAATTCGATCCCTACGTCAATATGGCCCGACACTCGGTGTGTTTTATTATGCGCCGCCACTACCGCCACAAACCCTTAAAAGCATTCACGGCCGGCAGTTAGAAAATAAAAACGGGAAAACCTTGGTGTAATCTCTTTGCGGGAGTGGCTTTGCACCAGATTGCTCTACTTTTCCAAGATGTGCTGTACTGAAGCACTGCAGATTGTTGGAACAGAGAAGACGCGGTGTGAAATTCTGAAATAGAATTCACAACATTCGTCTGAAAACAATCGATGAACTCCAATACAGGGAACCGCTGATAGAGTGTCAATCCTCACTGCTTATCTTCAACCGAGCACCGTGCTTGTGCTGCATGTGGCTAATGACAATTGTGAGCCCCTGTGGAGCAGCGTTGGTGTGAGCCTTGCTGCATTGCGAGATTCCACAGACTCGGGTTCGAATCCAGATTGTGGTGATGGAAATCATTGCCTACGTACTCGATAGCTATGCCACGATCTGCATCTCATCTTAAGACAAACGCCTTGTGCAGTATTCCAACAACAGCACTGGGTGTATCAAACGTGGCCATTTTTTACATAGTACTGGCCACATAACCTCTTTGTGGTTTGTGTGGACCTGAACATGAACTTTGTGGTTTGTGTGGACCTGACCATGAACTCGCTTACAGCACATTCCTATTTATGTCCATACATAAAAACAGGGCTCTGTTATTATCGTCACACTATGTACATCCTGTAAATCACCACTACTGTGCCTTCTCTGTGTGGCAGCACAAGCTGGGGCTCACGAAGGAGCTGGCCGGGCCTCTTGCCACGCGCTTTCTGCCATCCCATCTCGCCGCTGCAGCCTTCCAAGCCAGCAGCGTTCACTATACGGTAAGGCCGACTCCACATCGCCTTTACCTCACCTCACTGCAGCCTGTAGCGCGGGGTTCCTTGTGGCACCAGTACCAATGTGTGTTTGTTACACAGCATATGCCATGAAGTAGGGCTCAACCCCTCATCGGGTCTACAGGAGGGTTGCCACCTGCCCCGGTTTTCCCAGCTACCTCAAGAAGAAGAAATCCTCGTCTTGAAGTAGCTGTCTTGGGAAATCTATGCGTCTCCCAAGGACATTAACATTCCCAGTTTGTGTTACTTGCATAATAATACACCACACAAGCCAATATGTTTTCATCTAGTTCTGTCTGTCTGGAGGACAGTTCCAGACAGTCTCGTTCCTTTCACCTGTCTGGAGGACAGCGCCAGACAGTCTCGTTCCTTTCACCTGATGAAGGCCGCTTGTGTTGTAGCCGAAACGTCGTGAGAATATTATTGTGTTATTTTATTTTATCAATTTATTTTTTTATTCTCATTCTACGTGACTTTACCGAAAGAACCAAAGTAGATGAATCCTTGCAGTCACGAAAGCTTTAAATCGAAATATTCTTTATTCCTTTGATACGTCCCAGTGGTAATGTACCATAGGTGGTAACCATAGGCTACAGTGACACATCTTCAAGGCTGCTGGGCATGATGAGCTCATGTTTGGGGAGGGTCTCATGAGCTCAGCCATTTAGGGCCTGATTGCTCAGTGGCCAAAGAAGGCATTGATGGGTCCAACACACAGTTAGGCCTCGGCAAGGTAAGGTAATTTACCTTTTTTACCGGGTAAAAGGGTAAAGGTAAAGGGTAAAAGTGTCGACATGCCAAGGGGTAAGGTATAGGGTAGGGTAAAGGTAGCTCAGAAGAATTACCCGGTAGGGTAAAGGCAGCGCGAAGTATTACCCGGTAAATACGGTGCCTTGTTTACTGCTAAAAGCTCCGTGGCACAGTCCATGGCCGCCATTTAATAAGTAATATTAAAAAAAAATTAAACACTCTGTTATGAAATCTACGAGTAATGGCAGAACTCCACGACTCCAGGAAGTGGCCCCGAAGCTTGCCATACCGTAAGGGACCGTGGCCAATTACAGCCAACGTCAGCTGACCGTGGACAATTAGACCCAAGCCGAAACATAACATAAAAAATAATGTTTAAAAATATTTTTTTATTTTATTTTTAATGATAGAATACAGTATTGTCATCAGTATGACATAAGGATACTAAGTTCGCAGTCGAAACCACATTGGGAAGTGGGTTAAAATTGAGTTACAAGATTTGAGGATACAACAACGACAACGTCAACAACAGAGTGAGTTTAAAGAAAGCGTGGAAAATTGGAATAATCGAGAGTATTCTATAGATGAATAAAGCACTCTACCTAGCATTTACCTGTTATAAACCTTTTTCATGTGTGGTACACCAGTAATTACCCTGTAATCGGGTAATTTGTATGGGGTAAGGGTAAAAGGTAGGGTAAAGGTAGGCTCGTTGCTTTTACCTTTTACCTTACCTGCTGAAGGGTAAAAGGTAGGGTAGAGTGATTGTATTGTGGTAAGGTAAAAGGTAGGGTAAAGGTAGGCTCGTTGTTTTTACCTTTTACCTTACCTTGCCAAGGCCTACACAGAGTTCAGAATGCGGTGGACAATGGCAGAATCCAAAGAGGCCAAAAATAAATATTGTCCTGCCTTAGAGCCTAAAATTACCTTAATATAGGCATGTGCCACTGACTAATATATATAAATTGAGATAACGTAGCTATCTAATGCAATGATTTTCTATGTAAACCAAAAAAAATTATTAGGCAATGAAATTACCTTTTTCTGCGACTAAAAAGGTAAAAAAATCCCCACAATAGAAATAGCTGCACATTTCAATTGTGGGGATTGCAATGGAGCTGCCTCTCTTCATTCGCTTTACAACCGCAACACGAGTGATTTGTTTCGTGGAATTGGATTATTTTTATGTAAAATTAACATGATTTATGTGAAATTATTTCCCCCGCGTGTCGCCTTGCTTGGAACCCCGCGGTATTGCTGCCACCACCGCCACCACTGCCGCCGCCGCCGCCCCCGCTGCTTCTGCCCAGTGCTCTGTTAAATTGGGCTGTCTCCTCACCGGGCTATAGTGTGATCCATGTAAATTAATTTCAGGATGAAGGAAATAAAGGAAAAAAAGGCATGCATTTGAGAATATTTATTAGAATTTTAAAAAAATAGTTACATGATAACGATAATTTATGCGTAAAATAAAAAATTAATCAACTGTCGTTCTGTCACATTAGATCAATAAGGGATTAACTGATGGGATTTATTGTGGTTTGACTGGCAGTACTACAGCTAATTTATAAGATAATTACAAAATCTAATTTCATCCAAGTCTAGTAAATCCTTCATGGCCCAGAAAATGGCTTGACTCAGACTAAACCATCTTTAACACCAGTGCCTATTTTCAATCAGGTCTGCCCAGATAAGCAACCTGGAAAAAATATCTGCACCCAGCACACCACATCCAGTATACCTCTCGCTATGGCTGCAGATATTAGTCACCTGCCTCCTCCAGTCTACCAGCAACCCAAAAAGTATTTATAGAGAAATTGAGCCCTGGCGGACATCAACGTAATTATCCTATTTGCATCATCAGTGCAAACACTTATCTCTTTTCCATAGGCACATCGAAGCCAAGCCAGCATGGGGCTCCCATGGTACAGATAGTTTTCCACTATTGTGCTCAACCAGAACCAACCCATAGTGCACTGGTCTCACAACACATTGATTTTGGTTCGGAACCAAACAGGGCCAGGGGCGGGGTTGATAATTCACGATGTAACACGATTTTTGTCCCTGGGTAGTAAGTGTTATATTTTTTATTGTTTATGCCTAGGAAGTATAGAAAATGGCTATTATTCCCCACGAACTTTGCTTTTGTGACCAGGACTTTATGTGAAGGAATGACACATGTACACGTTTTCTCGTTGAAAATAGGTACATTTCAAAATATCACTGTCCTGGTCACAAAAGCAAAGTTTGTGGGGAATAATAGCCATTTTCTGTACTTTTGAAGCATCAGCAATTATGAAACAACACTTACTACTCAGGGACATGTTTTTTGTTACACAGTGTAATGCATTAATTGCGTGTGATGTCAGTGGTATGGCTCAGTTTCTGCAGTGGGAAAAAAAACCTGGTGCCTCTTTGAGCTGCGCCAGGCTAGCTTGGCACAGCCCCTGCGTAGCTCAGTTGTGCTGTGGAAAAAGACGTATTTATTCAAGACGTATTCGTTCAGATTGCTGCTAAAACCGAGACATTTCACCGGGGTAGCATGGGTGACTCTTCCTGTGGCCCACTGTTTTCGGCGCAGGCAAAGATGGCGCTACATAAAGACCTCAGCAAGCCACTGATGGCGGCGATGGCGGCAGCAGGGTTCCTACCCTCGCCGCTCACCGCCACCGCCGTCGGCATGGCCTCTCCCATGGCCCTCCGCAGCGCCGCTGGCACCGCGGCCTCGCTGCTTGCGGGGCCAGGCCTCTCTCAGGCCATCCTAAGACCTGCACCGGGGCCAATTAGGACATCTCATCCGTGCACACGGCACATCGTCTTTGCCCCCTACTGAGTCCCTGGTTTTTTGTTTTACAGTTTCATGGAAATGTCTGGAATTGTTACATTTTTTGTCCGACTTATGTTTTGCGTGTTATTTTTATTATGTTTAAGTTTTCATGTTATTTCGATTTTTTTTCCCACCGCATCTCCTGCTGCTGTTTCTGACACCACTGTTGCAAGTGCACGGGTGTGTAATGCAACAAGACAGAAAACACGTGTTTTCCAAAAGTGATAAAGTTAACAATGACTAGTAATACGACAAAAATATATACTTCCAACTGTGTTTTAATGTCATGGTTTAAAATGAGAACCCATGCTAGTGCACTTTTAAAGACGAAGGCGTTAAGTTTAAAAATGACGTCGCTCCTTCCTGCCAGTATGAAGCCGATTCGTCCAGCAAAGGATCTTCACTGCTTGGACAATGTCGGTGACCCATGGACGGCACTACTTCATGATAACCCTGCTCGCTCGCTACAATACTCTACCGCCAATAATTGTGGGATCGCTTTCCACTGTTTGTTTCGGAACTATCTGCCTTTGCACAAAATGGCTCCTTTGGACGAGGACGTGGAAAGTGGCATCTGCTTGTGGTGAAAAGTAGTATTTTTTTTTCCAAAACGTGACCACAGGACCATGAGATGAATGAATGAATGCCTTGGACCTCTGCACTGTGTTTGGCTACATTGAACCAGGCAAGGCTGACTGCGGGACCTATGCAGGGAGTGCAAAAAAAAACACGTGGGCAGTTTGGTATTGAGGAAGCTCCCTCTCTCCCTCGTAAGCAATAATGGTGTACATGTTATTGTTTGTCTGCGCAGACGAGTTACATATTAGATGTGAAGACCGTATCTGTCCGTGCTGTTTCGTGTACATGAAGCCCCGTCTTGTGTGAAATGATAAGTGTGCATTTAAAACCCCACATTTAAACAAGGCGTCTGTTACGGATACTAAAACATGTTGTAAAATGTCGTAAGTCTTTTTCAAGTGTATGAGCGTGCGTGTCAATTATTGGTAAGAGTCGTTTTGTAAGCTTCAGTGTTAACAAGGGCGTCTCAATATTGGAGCATATTGAACATAAGTGCTATAGTTTCTGATGGCTAGCTGCTTGATCTGTGCCCGCAGACATACCCCAGGAGGCGCTAAGGATAATCAAACCCTCTCCTTTTAAACACAAATATATGTACGTACGGAACTAGTATGTAGTCTAATTCAGCACTATCACTTGAGAGTACAAATGTCTCAGTCACCCTCCGTTTTCCCTCCACAAAACACCTCTTCCCTGTTTCTTTCACTTCTCTAGACGTCCACCTTAAGTACCCTGTGGGTGCACCTTGAGTACCCTCATGTAGTGTCAGGATGGCTCAGAGTTCAGAGCGCTGAGCTGGCACTACTGAATTTCTGGATCCCAATTCTAGGTTTCAGCCACCTTTGATTAAACCACATCACCTCGTTCACCAATGACTGCACAAAAATCCCCATTCCATTAAATTTGGTCGGTGATTGATTTTGGCAGATTCCAGTTCTGAGAATAAAAAATGTTGGTTTGATTGCCGTTCAACGAACTCCCAGTGGCAAAGCGAGTATGAAGCGTTAACTCTGTAATATCCGCTTCTGCGGGCTATTCTCCAACAGGAATTATTGCATTGCTCTGATAAAGATCCAAAAAGATACTCCGTCTCATGACACGACACCGATAGCACAATCGGAATACAATTGTGGCAAAACATATCTTTCTTTTTCTAAAGGTACTCTATGGGTGGACATTACGTGAGTGCATTTGTGCGCGCGGCGTGTGTGTAATAATAGCCAGGGAGCACGCTTGACTGTGTTGTACTTGCCTCTGTGTGCGCATCTTCGTGTATGTACTGTGACAGAGGCCCAACGGAATCAATAAAACCTTCAGTCTTCCTGTAAATAACGTAATGCATGTATGTGCTTTGAGAGAGGTGTGTTTTGGCAGAGCGAGGGCATGGAAACTTTGGGAATGTTTGCGTAGTTTGGTAAATTATTGTGTTCATTTAACGAAGCGCAAGGGACAATGTAAACAGCATCGCTCCAGGGCTGCTGTGCGCTTTAATGGCTCTTAACTGTGTAACATGTGCACTTTCACTCCAGAAAAGGCCCATAGGTACAGCGAAGAATACTAAAATGTATTAAAGATTCCTGCTCACGTGCCAGTTTCTGAACTTTAAAAAAGAATCGTAGTCATGCTGGTTGAAACTTAACTGTACGGCCCACATTTTCAAGTGCAGGCGTTAAAGTATCATTGATGATGGCGATTTTGTTTCGCTGTTTATCAGATGAATGCTGGTGGATGAGTGAACACGTGTTGAGGAGAAAGCTCTTCTCCCCTTTCAGCACTGCCAGTCAAAGGCACCAGGGAAGACTCTTTTAGGAACATCACTCATCGCCTTCACTTAGTTGATGCGGTGGAAACCCTTTTAGAATCACTATCTCTTTCACAACAGAGACACGGGAAGCTCCAGTTTAGTAGGGACAGTGAACATGTAATTACAAAAAAAACTCTTAAGAAAATAAATTCCAGCCATTCTCAATCCACTGATGGATAAACGCCGCCTCATTGCATGTCAGTCATGTACATTCTTTGACCCTACATTGACATGCTGATCAGCGCGGGTTTGGCCCGCTGCCTCAGGACGTCAAGTTTATAACGCAACCCGCTCATCACTGTACTACCACTATCCCAAAATACATTTTTATAACAGTTTGGGATTTTATCTGTGATGCAGTCACAACAATGGGACATCACGGTCATTCTCCACAGAAATAACCCGGGCAATTGTGGTAATCCACCTGTCGACGTTTTGCAAGCTAGCTTAGTGGTAAGGAGTGAGCTCAACACTAACCTCCCCCACCCACGACAGTGAGAGGGCAAGGTTTCTCATCAAGATGGGTCAGGATGTCTCAAAATAATCAATTCAGGCCTTTTTGTCTGTGATCTATAGAGGTCACCCAACATGGGGAGGCTCACACTGTCTGATCCGACAATGTGCGTGCTTCCACCAGGCTGTGTTGGCATTGACTTATGTATTTTGACATTAAAATGTAATTGATGTGATGGTTTTTCACTTCATGCCATCATCTGTGATTAAGCTGTGCTCATCAGTTCTGCTGGAAAAAAATTCAGAACAGTCAGAAACGTTCCCTTTTTCCTACTTATTAACCCAATTTGTAAGTCCACTTGGCTACTTGCAAAGAATCACATGCACCATGTCTTCCCTTTGATTCGCACCATTTTACAAGACAAATTAAGGAAAATTGTCACCAATTGCTTTTTTTCAACCAGCTACTGTACAGGATATGTCGCTGGTTCTCTAGTTAGTTATACTGAAACTTGGTTTCGAACTGGGGTTCTTAGCGATACCAGCTTGATGCTCCGACCCTTGAGTCACCTGGCAACTTGACAATTTGGCATTTTACTCCACATAATGTTAAGGGTTACTTTTAATTACTCAAATCAAGTTTGGTTACTTTTAATGTTCAGTTTCGTGTCAGAGCCAGACTTTTTAAGCATTGGGGCACCGCAGTGGCGAAATTCTATATTCTCCCTCACCGAGTATGGAAGAGGTCATGGGTTAAATTCTAACCATGACTTCTGCATATTTGTAGTTTGCATGTTCTCCCCGTGATCACGTCGACTTTTCTCCGGGTCCTCCAGTTTTGCCCGCCACACTTAGAAATGTGTTTCGATTATTTTTCTACGATAAATGTACACATGTGATAAGCCACTTTGATGGGCTGTCATACGTGGCCAGGTTGCCGCTGAAATATAACTATGATCTCAGTGGGCTTTACCTGGTAAGTAAAATAGTTTTAAAAAATATGGTAACTGTGACTCCACGTAAGAGACAAACTCGAAGGATGTCGTGCTGCTGTGTTCTCTCGTTACTTCCGTGGTAATTTTTGTGCAGAAACTTTTCAGACCTATGTGGAGATGGTGACTCACTGTTTTAGAAACTCTGCATTGGAATTTAGACAGAGAATATGGACAACGTTAAGAAATACACACATGTCGATGGATGGTCGCACCTCCGAGAAGCACGGTCGGCTACGTACTGTGCAAAAGAAGTTCAACACACATACAGTTTTTTTCCGTCGCTCACTGCTTAACGGCCTGGCATTTGGAACACCTCTGGATGAAGAACCGATGTGATTTCCTCTCTCAAAGTACATTTTTTCCCTTCCACTAAAAATGTTTTAATTTAACCGGCTGCACCCTCCACCCTGCACCACCTAACTGCGCGTAGTGCTGGAATTCAATCCATGGCGCACTTAATGAACCCCATGTCTGGTATTTGCATGCATTATTGGCACGGGAGCGTGGAAATGGTTGTAGACACTGCAGTGTTGAAATCATGACATGCCAACAGAAAAAAAAGCAACAGAGACAGTAGCGCTGCTGCATTGTTGCAAATGGACGGCGGAATATTTAGGAAACCAAGGGCTGTGGTTTTCTCCCCTCGTTGCACAGTGCGTTTTCAGTCACGCTCCTGTCGCAGGTCGTCTGATGGATAGCGTTCTGCCTTGGACACCTTTCACCACACTGCATTAACTCGTGTATGTGTTTGTGACCGTAAGGCGATGCAAACCTCTTAAAGAGATGTTTTCACATCTGAAGCCCCATTATGTGAAATCTGATATTATCTGAATGTGATTGACGATATACCGGTTCTCACTTGGTGACCCGTTCCCTTCCATTATCTACTTGCAGAGTAAATGTTAAAGCCTCTTAAAAGAGTTTTGCAAGCAGCGATCAGTCATTTACTTTGTTTTATTTGAAAATCATTACACTCGAGCGGCTCCATTAAGTTCTGCACCACATGTTTACAAGAAGGCAATGTTTGGCACCTGGGATTGTTAATTTGGTGAAACCTCGGCGTACAATTGTCAATGCTTGCAAAGTGACCACATTACCCCCCCTCCCCCTCAGTTCAAAATCAACTATAATTCATCAGGGATGAATTCACATGTCAAGCCATACTCAATCTTGAACTAAATAATCTGCAGACATCGCCTGCAGCTTAAAAAAACATCCACGGAGATTTACATCAAAGGACCTCTCCCGATAATTATTTTTTTTGCATTTTCTTACTTGTACAGATCACACTATACATCCCTCTGGATGTGCACATGAGAGTATGTAGTGAGCTCCTGGGTTTTTTTTGTTAATCAGTCAGAGCTGGGCATGACTGGATTACACATAATAACCAGGCCACCCCCACCCCCCACAGCTATAATCTTGTCTGCCAGGGCCCTATTCATTAATGTGGCTGCATAAGCCATTGGACTGGCACAAACTCAGTTCAGGGGAAGAACAAGGGGTGGTATGACAAAGGGTTACGGGCATAGATAAAGTATCATCTATGCCAACAATTCAACACCATCCATGTATGCCCCAGTAGTCATCATCATCAGAGTCAGCGTGAGCCGTGATCGTGCTAAATAAATGCATCCCCAAACCGTCACAATCTGTCCTCCGATGAAATAATCCATCTAGCATCTGTAGATGAGCTACTCTAATCGCGCCATCTTCATGGTGGGCGGGAATTCCAGCACGTTCCCTTCATTGGCTGCCACTTCGCATTTAGTGTCAACCATTTGCTATTGTCCCTTGTTGCTTGTAAGGATGAAATTACGTCTCGAAGATGCATACATTATAATTCATGGGTTCCTCTTTCTAACCAAGCGTGTTAACCTCTGATTAGCACGGTTAGCTGTGTATGGTACGAAAGAAGTTCAATATACATACTAAGATGCATCTCCCCATCCATGGTTATTTAGCCACTTTTGAGCTTTTTTGTTCCTCCCCCTTGTTTGTCATTGTCCTTGTGTTTATCCATATGCGTGAGCAGTACCGAGTACTATGCTTTGTACTGGAACTCACACTTTCATAATCATAATAATAAGGATCATAATCATGCCCTTTATTTTCCCAGGAAAGCCTTGATATCTGGCAGGAAACTAGAGTTCCCGGGCAATGGCATAAATACAAACGCATAACAATAATAATAAGCACATCTATTTGTCCAGCGCCATATTTCAGAGACAATGTTATGAGGCCGAGGCCTGTGGCAGTCCTCGAGTGCAGAAGCGCCGGTAACTTTTGGTCTAAGTTCTAAAACCTACACAAAATAATGCTGATAGACTCAGATCGAGTCAAGAGTGCATTGCAAAACGGCCCATAACCTGACTACCTTGCAGTCCAAGTCTGCAAACACCTGGCATTGCCAGGCAGTTTACAATTCAAATTCTAATCAGACTCAACTATGCTTCACTTCCAAGAGTTGGCGAGATTGGACACATTCCGAATGATTTTGCCATATGACAGGGGGTCGGCAACTAACATAACAAGTAGAGCCATTTTTTCGAATTCGGTAAAAAAAAGAAAAATATTTTCAAGAGCCGCAATGCACTGTGGTGGTGAATACGAGACGGTGGTCCTTAATAAATTAACGTCAGGAAGCAGTCCTTAAAGAGCCCCATGCGTCTCCAGAGCCACAGGTTGCTGACTCCTGCCATAAGACATTGAGTCACATGTGGAATTGCACAGGTTTTCCCTGTAAGTGCCGCGTGTTGCATATCTTTTTAGGATGCCGTGGACGTTCCTGGGGCTTGTAGAGCCCCAACTTAAACTCGTTGCAATGAAGATGCCGAAATAATGGCACGGCGTGGCACGGAATTTCAAAACAAACATGTTCTGAAGAAGCGTTTTAGCCCTTAGTCACCTGCCACCCTCTCGCCGCCACCACCGCTGCTCTCTCCTCTCCCGCCCCTCCATCTTTCCACAGCCTGACATCTTCAGGAATGCTCTCAGCGGGGACAGTAATTCCTCTCAGACACTTACACCCAGGCCGCGCCGATAACGGAGTTACTTTAGGACGCCGGGTGGCAATGCTG